ACTCTGGGTAGCATTGATAAGTTGTAGGTATTTCTACAGTATACGTGCATGTGTGAGCAATTGGGCGTCTCTCTAGCCCTTCTAATCGAGTAAACACAACATAAATTGTATTACTTATCATAACATTTGAGCCAGTGACAAACTGTAAGAACTTCCCAAGTTTCACTTTGTCAAGGCCTCTAACGAATCGTTTAAGGTGTTTCATGGTATCTCTTTCTGCTTCATTTTTTTCTTCTGCTTGAAAACTGGCGATGACCCTCCAGACAGTAGGAACTAATCTCTCATATAGTGACTCAACATCATCCAGACGAGGAAAGTATTCACGAAAAAAAGGAATTACATTTTTCCAGCAGTCAACAACATATTGTGGTTTCTGGATTATCTCTTTGTGGGCTAATTCAGTAAGTACTTAATTCAAATTATTTGAATTAACAACTTTTTTACAGTCAAAATCTGACTCTATGAATTCATCGGATTCTGATAAATCAATTTGACCATTAAGAGCCCTGTGAATTAGATCCTTTTCACTTTCAGAAATATAATTCATAAAGGAAGCCATAAGGATTTCATTACTCATTGCTCCTTCTCCGAACAAACAGTAAATAAAAAATGCCTTAGATGTAAAGGAAAATACTTACAGGACATATACCCTTTTATAAGGATTCTGCCTATTGCCTCCCAATGTGGCCTTTGGAAGTCATGTCTTATTCCAGGCACTCTCTCAGTCTCCCCAGTCATTAATGATTCATATATTTCTTTCCAAAAAGAGCTGAAGAGATCTCTCTCAAGCCCACTACCTCTACCTACTTCCTCTTCCCCTCTACTATTTGTGAAATGCACAATATCTAAGATTACTCTTTCATCTAATATAGATGGATCAGAAAAAATGCTTAACATATCCTTTCGGATGTTGGCTCTGTGAACATTGATGATCCTAAGGGATCATTTGAACTTCATATGTCACATCGGGTTCTGCTCTGGTCATACCTTAAATAAACAGATAACAATTTGTAAAATATTGTTAATATAATTCAAAATAAATATAATTTAATAGTATAACAATTATAAGGATTAATGCTGTTGACTTTTTAGTAACAACTTACTTTGAGTGGATGAACCAAATTCACTTAATACTTCATTGTTCCCAGGGGTTTCTGCACTGTTTACAGCTAAGATAAAAAGACAAAAATTTGTAAAAAAAATCTTCAAAACTATAATTAAAATAATTAAATGAAATAAATTAAAATTTACATATATTAATACTGTTTGATAAGATGATTTTGAATTTTTACTTGGAATGGATGCACCACATTCACTTGCTATTTCATTTGCACTGTCATCAGAATGATTAGTTGTTGGAACTGAAACATAAGAAGAATAGGATATTCATACTGAAAAGTGAGGGATGTTTATAGTTTACCATTAGGATTAATAAGTGCTATGCTGAATGTTGGTTTGACACAAGTAATTTTCATTATCTTTGCCAATTTATATTTATATTTATATTTCCTCACCACTCCCCGCTCAGCCGGGCCTCCCCAATACCCTTAGGGCCGCTACACAGGCTATCCGAATACAGGTCATTTYGCACAAAAGACCGTTCGCACAAGTTTTTTCGCACAGGTTTTGGACCGTTCGCACAACTTTAAGAGGACATTTCSCACAGAAAATGATAAGTGAGATTATTAGTTTTATTGCGATTCTTACTTTACTATAAATGAAGTTCGCATTACAATATTTGAAATAACAGTGTTTTTGAATTTGTATACACAACCCGACCACGAACGTGAACGTACCGCCGCCATTTTGTTTTTCGCTTAATCTGCCTTGGTTCAGTTTATGTACTTGAGACGGGCTGTTTGGTAATGAAGCTTTCAGCTATTTCTTTGCCATTTCCAAAATTGTAGTTGTTATTTTTTAAGTTATTAGCCAGGATGAAATATATGAAATTCTGAATCCGCTGGTAGAAACTTTGAAAGGCCTTGAAACGTACGCTACCTTGAACAGGTTTGGGCATGTTTCAACTAAAAATTGATGCCCTTGTCTGAACTGGCTTCGGTTTTATAGAGCTCGCGGCAGATCGAAGTAATTGAGCATTGAAAGTCAACAAAAGACCCTTGATAGCTTGGCTTGATTTTAAACAATAAATATATGTATCTACAATTAAAAAACTCCCACTCGTTACAATAGATGCAAAAACAAGCAAGCTGAAACAATACCTTGCAATCAAGTGACTTGTTTGTTTACGTCTCCATGGAGACAGGTAAAAGTTAGATGTGATATAGACTAATTGTGAAGTTTTGGGCGAAACAAAATTGCTGATACGTAAGTCATCAGTTCACTTCACACTGACAGGCCGGTTTCCCAAGGTCAAACCATGGATTCTTTTGAGCTCGATCACTACTCCTCCTAAAAACTAACCGAAAATCTAAATGCAYGTCGTMAAMGTWAACATAATACTTTATCGTTTAGGAGCAGATTGATTGAAATAACAAATTTTGAATTTTTTACCGAATTTTTAAGTTATGCAAATTTTACCGATTTTCAAGAACTCAAACATAGCGCAACTTTAGAGGCCAAAATCGCCAACTGGACAGCCTGACTGATCAAAGAAACAATATTCCTGTAAAAGAACGTTGCTTCCACTTTAAATTTCTGCAATGAAATTTTTGGGCTACTCAAAAGAAAATATTTTAGAGCGCCAAACGTGAGTGACCTTGAAGTGAAAATAATTCGTTACTTAGTAAAGATCGTGTCTGATAAGTTCGAAAGAACCAAACAAAACTGCTTAATTCCACATCGTATTTCGTTTATTTGAAGTAAATCTATCTTTAATACAACAGAAGAATGTATCATACAAGTTTTGCCGTGATTTACCTAATATAGATGATTTCAACGACCACTGCACTTGTGACAGTTACAAAGTTCGCACATCCACATCATCGCTGTATTGCTGGTATTGTGATTGTTTACTCCTCTTTAAAATCCTTCTTATTCTTGAAATGCATCCATTATATTATTGAAAACAGAGTAGTTTAGTCCATAGAGGTTTCTTTAGCAAGAGTTTTTTCAAACTATTTCAGAACATAAGCATGTGATGTYAACATTGTCACGGTTGAAGAGAAAACGTGACAACACAGGCATCCCAAGATTTTCCTCCTTTAAAAAAACTTAGGAAATATATTATCGCAGGTGCCATGTCATCATATTTATAACTAAGGTAAATAGRCTGYAKATCYCAATGATGTAGACTCTGTAGCAGTGTAATAGTTTTACCGAGAAGTCCGAGTTGGTCCGGCTTAATTAGGGCCTCTTACTCAAAAGTTAAAATGTCTATTTTGCAACAATTATTGCTACAGTCAAGGAATAAAACCTGTTTATAACTGGTTCARGCAACAAATCAAGAGCTTTATATCCATTAACTAGTAGTAGAGTGTTGCTCACTTGAAACGAACYATCTGCATCCGCTACATAACCAGAGGATAACGGAATGGAAAGCATTTAGTTAAGTCAACTTATGGGCGTGCCCTAGTCTGCTAGTAAGAGGGTGCAAAAAATGCAGGTTTATCAACGCTTTATCAACAAACGAAGGCAAGTACCTC